ACGAATTGAGACGCTCGCGTGATTTCGTTCCAGGACCGGGTGATTCGACGGTTACCGATTCCCAATCTTCGTCTTGCCAAAAGCCGTCCGAGTTTTCCGCCTGCAAACAGGAGGAGGAACAGACCCGTGAACAATTAGCTCGGGTGGAAGTATCAGGGTGACATGAATGAATGAAGATGTGGGTTTTAATCAGACTGTGATTGGGCTCATCAACTCTTCGGTATCAAGTTTAATTACAAACTGAACACCCATTGCCTCCGGACATACGAACAGCTTGTGTAGCAATTTGTTGAAATCGGTTTGATCGCAAGTACAGGAACATTATATATACCGCTTACCATAATCATAAGACTAATTTCCGCTTGATGCTGCTGTCACAACGAAATCCGAAATCACCTGATAAATTGATTTGCCATTTTAAAAAAGCCGAGTGATGAAAAGATGATGGAAGTTCGAAAGAAGACGATAGAGGAAGCATAACATAATGCAGCGTATTTTTTGAACGACTAAGCAATTTCGGTGTTCTTTTTTGTTTCTGGCGGTTTCTTTGATGAATTTAGGAGTTATCACGCCTATTAAACAATTTTAGTCTTTAAACTGTTGCCATGGAGTTGTTGATGATGGACAACGATCAAATGCACTTTTGCATGAATTTATTATATCTTGAAAGTCAAAACTGTCCACTATTCTACCGAGTCGAGTGCGAATCTTTTATCACGGTGTCAAGTAGTAGTCCCTTTTTACTGTCGCTTAGGAAGCACGGTACTGTTCTATATTGTTTCTGTCACCAAGCCGTTCAGAGGCGTATCGTGTACGAAAAGCCAGTAGTGCCCCATTATGCTTTGCGTCTTCTTGCTAATCAAGCCACGCAGTGGATGAAATTTCGTAGGCTGATGTCTTAAAACACATCACAACGAGACTGCACCTTGACGTGGTGTGATGCCTTGTGTGCCTCCATGACCCGGCGAGCTACACAGGATGGCTTCCCACAGCTGTAGATCCAATCATGCCTGAAAGGTCAACGGGTAGAGGCCAGACGAAACTCAGTCTCACAAAGCCAGCTGCATGGGCACCTCCTGGCTTCTTTCGTCTATCCACACCCGACCCTGAAGAGGCCACTTCAGCAAATAAACACAGTGAGGGGCAGTTTACCTGTCAAAAAAAACCCGCTAGATGGACGTAGGAGCGGGGTACCTGAGGCTTTGCATTTCATTGGACAGCTACTTGTGGTGCCGTCGCGACATCCGGCTGTATGTTAAGGGTCCAGTGTATCCTGCGACAGTTCTGCCAGTCCTGCTATACGGTGCAGAAACTTGGCCATTAAGAAAACAGGACAAAGATAGACTGTTGGTGTTTGAACACCGCTGTCTACGCAGCATTCCACGAATCTGGTGGGGTAGCCGGACAAGCAATGCGGAGGTTAGACGCAGAGTTTTAGGTAAATGCGGTCGCCCACTGAAGCAAATGGTCGAGCTCCATAGATAACGTTGGTTGGGGCATGTGTTACACGTGTCACCAGGTAGGTTACCACGGCGAGCGATGTTCGCCGAAGAAGATACAGAGTGGAATACAGCCAAGGGTGGTCCAGCTAAGATCTAGCATGAGAGTATGAAAACCCTAACCAGGAGTGTGGATCACATAGGTCCCGTTAGGCTCCCTGGATGGGAACCACGATGTGATCGTGACCAATGGTTAGAGACACTGAGTGATATGGCTGAGTGTCGTAAATAGTAGCGTTCCAGCATCTTGTCAATTTCTCCGCAACATTAATCCCCTGAAGTTCTAAATATTCTCTTTGATCCTCTTTGATCTTTCAACCTTTGCTGTCTTTCTCGTAATGTTCATCCAAATGGGCAGCCAAAAGACAGTAACCAAAACCGGCGCAGGATAGCGTATGGTTAATCGTTGTACGAACTGAACTGAAACATTTGTAGTGCATATATGCGGGTCAGATCGGGATTTGATATCCGGATCTCACTTATAGGAGACGTGTTGCCGCTATGTACCAATCAGCTTAAACCAGGACTGATCTGAGCGACCGATTGAAGGTTTTTCAGACGTCATTCTCACTGTGCAGTGGGCGCAATGCAGTGGATCCGTCACATTTTCCATTTTATTGCATTATCTATTTGAACAAAGGGGTAGACAGATGGTTTAAGTTGCCGTTGTTGTCGTCCATTTCGCCCTAATGTTCCGAGGTTAGAATTCTCTTAACCCAAACTTTTCGTCCGGCTGGATATTACGTCCGACCTTTACATTGTGGTTAGCCACTCCAAGTCCTACGGCAGCGGCAGCCGGTCTCTTTCGGCTGCTATTCATGACACGGTGGTGTAATAAAAGAATCTTTATGGCTTCCAAGTGAGAAACATACGACGTTTCTCCTTCAACGTATTTAAACAGTACTTCGCAAACGGCAGCCACGAAAGATGGCACTGTGTATGAACAATCTGTTGTATAAAGTCGATC